AGTGGTGGTGGTAAGCTAATTTACTTTACCCCTTTCTCTGGTATTTCGTAGGTGTGGTCCATTTCCTTTCCGATGACTGAGAGTCTTGTATACTCGCGATCATCCTTGGCAGCCTAATTAAAATAATATGTTGGCATAAATATAGTTTAGTATTATATACAGTGGGAAAGAATATTTTTTAAATGTTTCATAATATGCATGTTGATTACTAACCGATTGGGTTTTTTCTTGGCTCCATCGACGTCTATGCAATACATAACTAATCACAATAACAGTTGAAATAGTTACCAGTAAAGTTGTGAGTATCCCAACAATAATACCTACACTACATGAACCACAGATGCAACCTGAAATGGCATGTTATTATAATTGCATCCAGTGTTAACTGAAATTACATTTAGTGTTTTTTTTATTATTTAAATATTAGTGTTGACATTCGTCATAAATTACCTCACAACGCAGAGAATAGATGATTAGAATTATTTTTTTCAGCTTATGATTATAACAAGTGTGTTATATATGATATTGGTAATAATACTTCCAATGTTTCTGTAATTAACATTCATCAAAGTATGCTGAATGCAACAATTCAAGTCAGTTTATTACCATTGCTTGTACTCATTGGTAATGCAATGAAGGCATAGCTTTCACAACTCCCATCTTTAGTGCAATACGTAATTCTATAATCACTAGTTGTATCATTTACTTTGTACTCCAGTACATCTAGGTTGGCACAGTTTGTTACAACGTGCCACGTGACATCTATGCTACGTGTTTCTATTTTCACACATGTATATTCCTTGTTCTCATGACGTATCCAGCTCAATTTACCAGTAACATGATCCAGTTTCACGATTGGTTCATCTAAAAATAGATACAGTAAATTGTGAATTAATTATAACAACTGTATTTATTACTTTATTCAAAACTGCATTAGATTGATGTAATTATACGGTTTGTAATTTCATAATTCAACCCATTCACAATCATAACACTGTTACTCATACTTAGATACTAACACTGCCATAAAGACTTTTCGACATTGTGAAAATTATTCGTTGTTATGCAATAAACTACAGTATTGTTACCAAGTACAATCGTTATTGTTTATGAACACACTACATAGTTTATAGTTCATTCAGATTTCTTCAGTCATAATTCAAAATAAATAAAAGGCAAAATGCATTTCGTTATGAATCTTAATATAAATTTCTGAATTATCTTGTCATTTTTTTTTTCAAAAACGAAAGAATGTCACAATGTCGAACACTGAAGGTCTTTTTCGTAGTGTTTTACTGCGTTTATGATTCACAAGTACCTTATTTGACGTTTTATATTTACTGGCAAATCGTTTTTGATTATGCTTATTTATCTGTGTATAAGAAGGTTTGCTATATTATATATATTGATCGATTTTCGGATTACGTCAATTCGCACATAAACGGTGGAAAATTTAGTGCGTAAAATCATAGCAATGAGCTGTCTTTGGAAGTAAAGGGAGAAAACCAATCCACTACCGTTAAACATGTAACACGAATAACTATATCTCCAATACTCTGCCACATGTGCCACTCTACCAATTAGATAAAAAATAACCAAAGTGGAGTTGGTGCGTCCTTTAGCGCAACAATCTACCAATATTTCCATTTAATGTTTCAACTTACCTAATGTTCTGATTATAAAACTATTACTGTATGGTCCTATACCAATTGTGTTGGCAGCATAAGCTCTGCATTCATAGGGTGTTGACGGTGTCAATTTTAGTATTCCTATTGTGGCATTGGTTGACTCTGAGATACCAGTGTTCAATTCTACGAACGTTTCGTTTATCCATGAATGATATTGTATAAAATAAGTTGTATTTATATCTCCACCATTGTATCCGGATATTATAACAACAGACAGACTATCATAGTACCGTGTGATTGGAATAATGGACTTCGGTGCATCTGGAATACCTGGAATTGTACATTTATTAGTTTATAATAAAAAAATAGATTAAGCAGTGGTTACAAAACTATCGCACTGTCTAGATTATTATCCAAGATTAATCCAGTAATGTAAACAAACTCAAACTGTAGTTTATACTTATTGCATTATTATTGCATTATTATTGCTTATCCCTAGCCTCATGGTGTCACACTCAAATATTTAAAATTAATTTACTTTAATACATTTGCAATGAATTTATTAATCATTGAGTTATAATGATTGCTCTTTTAAATTTGCATAGAAGCAAGGGTAAAAATTGAAAAATGACAATACTTACTTTAATCGTTGAACGTGACAATGAATGTTGTGTTGCCAATATCGTTTTCTGCAAAACAGGAATAACCACCATAGTCACTTAGCATTGTATCCTGTATTGTCAATATGCTTTCATGCAAGGTTCCACGTGACACTGTTTTGATTCTGAATCTACTGTCAATATTTATTGGTTGATTATTTGGACTATACCATATTACCGATGAAAGTGGGTTGCTTTCAATCTCACATCGTAGTTCTGCTACACTGCCCTTGCTTGCATACGACCGCTGATTGTATGATACGTTCACAACAAATGGTTTATCTGAAAAACAGTATAATGTATCGCCGTTTATCAAGTAGGCTGCAAATCATGTTTAAAACTTAATAAGATCAAAAATATTTAACGTATTATTATTTGAAGAACACCATGTTAATCAAATCGAGTCGTCACCTGCGCATGCGTCAGTTGGAAATAGCGTGTCATTGTTTACACACAAAATTCTACCCATGGCTCTTTGCGTTTTAGCGTGTGTTGTTATTGTCGCTTGCGCAGGTGACGACCTCCCGCTTTAAAGTAACCATAACCGTGAAATGTGAATAGATATTTCTCTCGATAAATGTAATATATTTCTAAATTTCTTACAATACACAGTCAGATGTCATTAGAGGTCACGTGACCAGTAACGTCTGGATGACTTGATTAACATTGATATGATTTACTGTTATGTTTTGCTTGTATGAATATTGTCATCTGTTGTTCACTTATTTTACCATTATAATCTCCATCTCTTGTAACATCAGATGTAATAGATTCATATGTATTAGCAGTCCATACATTGTTATCTTTTAACCATGATATCTGAGATGCTGGATTACTGGTTGATGTGCTACAAGTCAGTATTTTAGTTTCACCTTCCTTCACAGGATTGGTTATGCCAGATAATGTCACACTCTCTGCTGGAACTGTAAAAAATGTTGATTTATAATTCTAACGATGTTGAAATAAAATTCTATAATTAGATTTATATACAGTAGACATTGATTGG